ACCATATCATGACCGTAAACAGTATCCTAGCATGCAATATCAGATTTTAACCGGACTTGTCTTTGGTTTGTTTGTAGTTTGCCTCTCGAAAAAATAATATCGCTATGAATGTACAAAAATATTTTTTAAGGCTTTTAATGTGGTTTGACTAGTTCGTGTTTCTTGTTTGTCTCTCAGAAAAAATAATCTCACTCCAAATCTGCTAAAATATAAAGCAACAACACACAGCAGCGTGTTCATGGAGGCAGCCATGTTTGTTCCGAGATGTGGGTAGCTCGATGGACGTGATGTCACTCAACTCGGAATTTCCGAGTTCCGAGAGAAAAACGAACGGACAGTAACTCACGGTGGAGGGCTTTCGCTCATTTGCACTTACTGCTTAACAGTAGCCGGATAAGCATTAAGCACCATTTTCAAAAGGAAGTGCAAAACCGAAATACCGCGGTTCACAAGGGCGTACCGGACCGTGCAGCGCGTACCGAATGGTCCGGTATTTTACCGAGTACCGTTGCATCCCTAGTATAAACCATCCCCACTCAAGCACCAGCACATGATCACCGAATACCTAAGTAAGAGATACAACACGCTAAAAGGCAGCTTACAGCCCAAAGGACCAGCATTCTTAGTCTTGGATTAACCTAGTGTGTGTGTCTGTGAAGTGTCTCTGTGTAACTCAAGGAAAAGCGTCTGCTGTTGTCTGAGGTTTACAGTGAGACCCCAAGGACTCTGCTGTGCTGTGATCACCGTTACGAAAAAGAGCATATTACAGACATACATGATCAGGGAGGCAAGGCACAAGTGCGAGTCCTTCAGAGCCGGACCCAGCATCCAGTCCATGTTTAGGTCCACCTACCAGAGAGTGGGACCAAACTGGGTGGGATGCCCCCCACCTACCCAAGGGAACAACTATAGATCAAAACATGAACCGGCACGGGGTCCACAGAGGGAGGCCGTTTGGTGCTGTGGACGAATGAGCAGATTTTCTTTTGGTTCCCACGCCAGTGCAGGCCTTTGCGGGGGGGGGGGGGGACATGAGCATGGAATGAAGAGCTACAACAGACTCCGGGTATATTCTTAGCATGTGTATGCATTTACTGTGTGCATGTTTTGTTTTTAAATATGACTCTTCTGGCAGAAATAAAGCTTGCCAACAAGGAGCCATCAGCCGGCAAGACCTCAGCCTCCAGAGTGCGCTGCCCCTCCCCTTCAGGTTGCCATGGCAACGGCATTCCCCTTAAGAGGGATGAGAAGGTCCTGAAACCTTCGCCATGGAGCGGACGGCCCTCTATATCGTGCCCTGACGTGGGACTCGGGCTGTCCGTGCCCACTGGTGCCCCAAAACAACCCACCATGAACGCCCCACACAGTAACCCTACACACTTCCGTGCTTAAGTAAGAAATTCAAGCAGACTAGGGCTCATAATCTGTGCAGTTTGGACTTCCCCTCACCCCCTTTAATAAGCTCTTCCCATTAATAAGCTCTTCCCATCTCAGGGAAAGAAAAAATGTAAACATCCCCAGGAAAAAAATGCTAAATAATTTAAACAGTGGTATTTATTTTTGGGCTCCGAGGATTAAAGGGTGTCATTCACTGCACAATATGAAAGATAATAATTCTGCTCATGACATCTGTTACAATCAAACGAGCCTGAGGGACGTTATCTCCAGCACGAGTGTGTCATGCACCTATCCACGTCCACAGCTGCATGTGTGTCTGTGAGCGTGTCCTTCCCGTGCGTGTGTGTGCCTGTGAGTGTGTCCTTCCCGTGCGTGCGGGTGTCCACACCTGTGAGTGTGCCTGTGAGTGTGTCCTTCTCGTGCGTGTGTGTGTCCTTCCCGTGCGTGCGGGTGTCCACACCTGTGAGTGTGCCTGTGAGCGTGTCCTTCCCATGCGTGTGTGTGCCTGTGAGCTTGTCCTTCCCATGCGTGTGTGTGCCTGTGAGCTTGTCCTTCCCATGCGTGTGTGTGCCTGTGAGCGTGTCCTTCCCATGCGTGCGGGTGTCCATGGTTGTGTCTGCGGGCTCACCATGTTCATCACCGTCAGGATGAACCTCTGAGCCGCCTCGGGCCCGTGGTACGCCACCATGTCCGAATCGGCCACCACCACCGTCTCCACGGTGTAGTCGCCGCCCCGCCGGATGGCGTTCCTGCGTTCTCGCCGGTCCTCCCATTCCTTGGTCTTCCTCTCCTTCTTCCCTGCAAAACAACACCCCCACCCCCACTTGCTGAATGGAGGAGAAAGATACTGTAAGATTCCACCTGACACCTCTTAATGTGGAAATCACACATAGCAAGACCGCTGAGACACAAATGCGGAGCACAAACCCAAGCAGCCAGAATGAGATTCCATACAGGGATTGTGGTCGTTCCAATGACTCAAGTCATTTTTTGAATCTTGAACGAGGGTCTGCGAACAATCAGGTGCTGATGGACATCACGCTCAGCCTTTCCACCCTGCAACCCCAGTAAAACCTAGAAACCCCTCCTCCATGCCCCCCCCCCCCCCCCTGCTGGGCTGCTCCGGCCCTGACGTCAACGTCCCTTGGAAAGCGCTTACAGTAGACTGCTCCCATCCTTTCCTGTTTCGCTACCGCTAGGCTAACACCCAAAAGCACACACCGGACCTTGGCTCTGTCCCCCTTCCCTCCTCTCCTTGTTCTCTCTCTTTCCCTCATTTCTGAACGAGCGCCAGGCCTTGGGTTGTCACCACATGCATGGCGCACAACGAGCTCAATTAATCCTGGCCATCCCTGCTGTAATTACTCTGAAAGTCACCATGAGGACTGAGCGGGAGCCCGGAATCGCGCTCGCCAAGTCGCCTCCAGTGCAAGAGGCTGCTTTTAATGCTTTCCATTCAACAAAGGAGCAGAGAGACAGGAAAAATCGAAACGTCACGGAGTCAAACCGCAGGGAAACAAAAAACTACAAGCAAATACCTGCAGCTACCTAAGTCACCAGATCGATGATGGATGACACACGGTCGCCGGGCTATCAGTCCCAAGCTAAAGTCATTTCTCCTGCTAAAGATACAAAGCCCCACAGTACATTGCAGGACAGGTGACCGGCCTTTATTACCTACATGGAACGAGTGAGGTAGTTCTGCTCAAGAAATCCTGAGAGAACATCTACTGTTCAAAGCCTTCATCCTCAACGGCCGCAGGAGAACTTCTGGAGGGCATCTTTGCTTGCGCTTCAGGTGACCCTAAACGTGTTAAATCAGAGGTCTAACATCACAGTCTAGCAGCCACTGGTGCCCATTAGGATCCGGATGGTGTAAAGGGATGTTTACAGATCTCCACAGGCTGCCTCCCTCCAGGCTTCCCCGCCAGCAAGTCACCTCAGGCCAAAATCAAGCGATACCTGTCCTCAGATTCCCTCCGTGATCTCGACGGGTCGCCCTCAAAAAGGGCTCCAATCAATTTGCGAGAGTTCGACTGAAGGAGTTCCTACTCAACACAGAAGCGACTCGGATCACTGTGATGGCGTCTAAAAGGTGTAGGGCTGCCACCGAGGTGACAGGCGTCTTCAAGCCAACCAACCAGTGACACGGTGCGCAGGACATGCCAAGAGGTGCAGAAAAGCCCAGACTGTAGGCGCATGGACACTTAGAGGGGAGAATCCCAGAGGACCAGCAGCCATAACCGCTAACAAAACACACTTCACCTAATAAGGGGGACCACTCCTGGTGAAAATGTCACAATCGTGCTTTGCTACCTTTCAGGAAAGCATCCAAGCCATGAACAGAACACATAAAGAAAATTACGGCGGCTCTTAAATTCCGTTTCCTCAGGAGAGGTGCATATTTTATGGTCGCCTCAGCTTCTCTGGTAGGACCCATACAGCACAAAGAGGCCCTCTCTGTTCAAGGCCACCTCCCCTGACCACTTAACCAAATCCCATTGGCCGCTGTCAATCATGTGACAATCCACAGCGACTCTTTAGACCTTGGAGAACCGCACCACAAATTTCAGGGCAGCCCTAACTCCAAACGTGCGCCGAGATGCTGCATATCCCTCATGAAGAATATTCCAGAAGTCAGGTATTTTGGTAGTGTGGATTTTTATTTTTTTTTTTACTACTTTGAACCCAAATCCCCCAAGCAGCGAGGAGGGGAGGGGGTACCGAAATGTGCCGGGAATGACTCCTCAGAACGAGTGTGTGCCATTAAGGAACCGGAGGCTGCTGCACAGCGGCGTCACACGGTCCAACATTTTTAACATTCCCGTCTCATTCCAATGCAGACCGCAGAAAAGTCCGGGTTCTAATCCCAGAGCCTGGCTCAAGACAGACCCCTCATTCCATATAAGCACGGGTGCTAATTATTAAGAGCAACATCCAGGGCTCTAATTCCGCAGGAGGCGCTCGGAACGCCGGCCAGGGATACAGGCTGGTCATATGAAGATGGGGTCCTCGGCGTCCGCCGGGACTGCCCTCCGCGGGATTAGAGGCGTCCACCGGGACTGCCCTCCGCGGGATTAGAGGCGTCCGCCGGGACTGCCCTCCGTGGGGTTAGAGGCGTCCAATAAAAAGCATAAACCCATTTAGAGCCTCGTGCAGCCCCCTCTCCTGGGCCAGGACCCCGCCCCACCGCAGCACACCTTGTACACCTTTTCCAGGAGACATTTTGATATCCAACCACCCATGAACCCCGTTGCCCTCGGGCTCCTATGCAACAGGCATTTTTGAACAAAACTCAGAAGGAAATTGAGCGCATGTGTGCAGTTTCTTTCTTTTTTTTTTTTTTTTAAAGCAGATGCCAACGGCTGTAATCTCAGCAAGCCGGTATTCGTATCAGAGACCCGGCGTGACCCACATTCAGCGCCCCGCACCGGGGGAAGGAGCGCCCTCTGCTGCCCCGCACCCGTCCCGCCAGCCGACCCTCCGGACCGCTGATTTCCGCTCGGGCCGGACCGGCCAGTGTCACTCCACCAAGAGTGCTGGGACGGCTGGGAGCAGACAGCGGAGCTCTGAAGCATTCAGGACATGGAGCTTTAATGGATATACAATGTGTCTCAGTCAGCACGCCATTCCTCAAGGGAACACAGCAATTGGGGAGGGGGGGGGACGTCGAAACGCTCTTCTCTGAGGTTTTTCAACAGGCCGCCGGGGGGGAAGCGGATGAGGGAGCTGGCAGGGGCCCATCAGTCCTAAGCAGACGTGAGTGTGGGGGTTGGGGGGGGAACAGGAATTTAAAATCCAGAGCCTCTGGGCCCGCCCAGAGACACCAGGTGGTGGGACCCACAGAACCCCTGGCACCTGAAGCTCTGTCATCACCAGCAGCAGAAAGATAACATCCGCGTAAGGGCGGGGGCTGTGGGGGCTGCGGGGGCTGCAGGCCGGGACCAGGCCAAGGCAGCGGCCCGTCGGCATGAGGCAGCCGCCAGAACCTCATCGGGTTACCAGCGCTCCGTCCCTGTGACGAGCCAGGTCCAGTTACAGCAGAAGTCCAAACTCTCTCCCAGATGCGAACACATGGAAAGAATTTATTTACACGGCCAGTCAAAAGTGCTGGTGGTCTTTCCTTCACAGGAATTATGTAATAATCCAGGACACGCTTCTCTCCAGGATGAAATTATACTTCATCACACCAGTAAGAGGAACAGACGTTAAATAGATAACAGCAGTTTACCCAACAAACAAAACATCCCCTCTGTGATTGGCTGAAGAATTCATTTTTTTTTTTCCAAGTTCCAAGAGGAGAGAAACAGAGTCAGGAATGAGAGGTTTGGGTTCACAATAACGATGGCCTGTCGCACGGCTGTCTGTGCTCCCTTCTCGGTTCTTAAAAGAGCAGCACTTCAGATTTTGCACGAAAGTACAGTGAACTGGGAGATCTCCACCAAATTCTTTTACTGGTAAAAGCTTCCAGATGTCTCCACGACCTCGATGACTGCAAAACTACAACTCCCATAATTCACCTGGATGGTTCCTTTCTTTATGAAGAACAAAAAAAAAAAAAAACATCACAGCAGTCAGACAGCCTGAGAGCTTTGGCTCTCTGAGAAAATGGTGTGCTTGAAAAAACAAATTCCTCCTGGTTAGAAAAATCCAAAAGCTGGGATTTTTGGAGCGACACCACAGGGGGGTGGAGAATTTGCTAAGTGTCCATAGTTGTTAGACAGTAGAGAGGGCTGCTGGTTTTACTGTCAGGTAGCATTCATGCTAAGTTATAACAGGTTCCAGCAAGAAGCACGTTTAAAAAAAAAAAAAAACAACTGAACAGCTGCCCACCTTGAAGGGACAAACTTCAAAGGCAGGTTGCTGTGAAACCAAAGATATATTAAACCGGCTGATCCGGGACAGCAGGAGTTCATGGTGAAGACTGGGGGCCCAAAACAGTTATAGAGAGCAAGCAGAGATAAACAAACTGCAAGCAAATAGCATCCAAAAATCACCTGCTGCAGCAACTTCCTGGCGGAAAATCACATGCATGAGTGAGCAGGCAGGCAGTATGCAAGCATGTGAGGGAGGGGTACTGACTGACCGCCAAAGGCGGCTGGGGGGGCTCACTACCTTGAATGGTCTCACAGTGCTTTGTCATCTCCGTTTCCATGTGGGGGGGCCTGGCTGTGGGAGATCTCCGCCGGCGGACGACCCTATGCTCCACGCCAGCAAAAGTGCCGGAGCTCGCCGTGGGTTCGATGAACATGCTGTCATGTTCCGTCTGCACCCATCCAGTCTGTGGGAAGATATAAAGGAAAATAAAAAATAAAAAAATCAGAGCATTAAGCCACCCCCCCCCACACACACACACAAAAACATCATGACCCACAGTTTGTGTGCAGGGAACACCATTCCATCAATCTGATGCGACCCCCCCCCCCCATCCCCCACCATGAAAAGGCTGTCAAAGTTGAAAAAATCCATTCTGTGGGCCAGGCAATAACTCTGTAATCCATATATCCATCCTTCCTGATTAGGGTTGCAGGACGACACAGTAATAAAAAATATTATTTCTAAAACTAGGAAAATGTGAGTAAACACGAACTTAAAAAAAAAAAAAATCAATATATCTTGCAAGAAGTCAGAGAAACTCCAAAGAATCTCATACAGGCTGGTGTGTTTCCATCGATCTAAATCTCCCCAGAATCAGACACCATTAGTATGAAATTACCCTGTCGATTTCCCTTTAACGGAAAGACATGGAGCAGAACCAGGAGTCCGCAGATGCCCTACTAACTGACCCAGACCTTCCATTACTAATTGGAGCTGCAAAACCCAATGTGCCTCTTTCCTGCACCCTGGGGCAGGCGAGGAGCAGGGGGCAATGTCAGAGGGCCCCCATGCAGGGATGGGGGCAGGGGGCAGAAAGGGGCCACCTTTATTCCTCCTTCAGAGATAACAGGATGTTTATTCATGAACAGCACCAAATTCAGCCTCATCAAGGCGAGATGGGGCAAAACAGCCCAGGTAAGCCCAGGATTTCTGACATGGATGAACCTCCATTACAGCATCCAGCATTAATTCCAGAAATCCATAAATACTTTAAGCACTAAAAATCTAATATAAAAATATAGATGGGTATCCTGTTTTCACATCTAAATCAAAAGTTAACCAATCAGTTCCTGCATAAAAATAGTCTCAATAATATGGGAAAGAGGGGAAAAAAAGATTATACACTCAAAAAAAAAAATATTTACACTGCCTGGCTGATATTATGCCAGTCTATCAGGACCATAGCTTTCACATCAACAAAGAGGCTCCATGCCCTCCACAAAGGATGGGGGGGGCGGGGGGGGGGCTTTCCGGGTCTATTTCCGCTGGGTGTTTGGAAGTCGAGGAACCGGCCTTTCAGAACGTGAACAACATCAAACAAAAAGGCGACAAGGGGAATGAATGGAGGAGATAGGAATCAGGCACATGGGCTAAAGGGATTAAGATAAGAGGGCAGGCTTCGGGGGGGAGGGGGGGGGCATCAAACGGCAGGATCTCGACAGGAGACACCGTAGAACTCAGACGGCTGCGTTTGACAGCAATGAGTCCGCAGGTTTCTTTAGGTGAAGGTGGTGTAGAAGGACAGCATCCGCGGGTGGTCCCCGTATGCACAGCTGCTCTGAGGGAGGTCAGCCGGCCGGAGACCCCAGCGACATCCGGAAGCCAGTGCGCGGGCAGGGACCCTCCACAGATAAAACGCCAAGCAAGCGCCGAGCAGGCCGAACGCCACCTGTCACGTCCGCAGAGATGCCCGACCACGTTTGATACGCCAGTCCTGGCTCCCGCCGACAGGCAGCGTTTCAGCGGTCTTTGTTTTAGCTGAACTCCCGCCAAGAACAGCAGAGGGATTTAATGACAGAAGCAAACTGCTCTTAAACCGCCGTGAGCTTCACCTGGGGCCGTGCCTGCGCTCTGTACCTTTATGGCCGAACTGCAGACCACCCCACCCAGGAAAACAACACAAACCCCTCAACCCAGGAGTACCGGAATATTCCGATCCAAAAGTAACCATGGGTCATTTACCAGTTACCTGTTAACCTGATTATGCGACTGGTCTTGGAATATGCAGTGACATTTCTGAACCTAAAATCTGCCTTTAGTGCCATTACAGTCTGGTAAAACATCCCAGCTTAGTTTGTGTTTTTGATTGGATTTCACAGCTGTGACATGGGAAATCTGACTTTCCCTGTATAACCACATCCCTCACAAACACTGGGAGCAGGCAACCGAGGTAATAATCACCGTTATAAACCAGGACAGATAAACATTCCTACACTTCTACGCTTCTAATGAATTTCACACTGAAGTTTTACACACCCATACTTGAAACGTGAAGTTAATCTGTTTATGGTCACTATGACATTCCTAATAAAAGGCACTTAAAACGACTGGGCAGCTGAAACAATGACCGACTCGTGGTGAATATGAATTTGTTCGAGCCACTGTGGTCCACAGAGCGTCTCCAAAAATGCACAGTGGCAGGGGGCATCTGTCTTAGGGTTACACTCCAGCCACCGGGCAGGGTGGTGCAGTTCTGGGGGGTTTGGGATTGAGGAGCAAGGAGCAATCAGCAACCGGTTACCCTAGTAACGTGTGTGTGTGTGTGTGTGTGTGTGTGTGTGTGTGTGTGTGTGTGTGTGTCTAAGCCCCCCACTGTCAGAAAGAAAAAAATTAAGGTACAGAAATTAACTCTGATGTTCATCAATGTACCCCAATGGTACAAAAATGTTCCTCAGAGTATATTTCCGTACCTTAAAAGGTACAATTACCTACAGCTAGGGTACAATTTGCCAGACCCTTGAGGGTACAGCCCCAGTGACAAGCAAAGGTACAAATTGTTACTCTTTTTCTGACAGTACAGGAGCAACCATTTCATGAATGAACAAGAACAAGTGATGTTTGTCACTTGCCATCAACTGCAGGATTACAGATTTTGTAGGTGGGGGGGAAGGCAGCTGTATCCTCCAATGTGAATTTTACACACAATAACAACGAGCGATTTTGCAAAGTTATATAAACTCAAGAGAAGTTGTCTATATGGGGTGAAAAAGTATCACTTTTTACCAGACCACCACAGGTGCTGAGGGTTGCAAAAGAGCCGGTGTGATTGAGAACCCGCCCGGTGTAGAAGCAGAAAGCGGCACTGGGACCGGGATAACTCTTCGCCGGTGCAGTCCCGTTATCCCGCATCTCTTCAATCACGAAGTCTTCCGATAGGAACCCTGCGTCTTTCCTGAGCTGGAGGAAAAGGTCTGTGCCGAAGGCCGGCAAAAGCAGGAACAGGTCTCGGCTCTGCTCCAGACTGCGGCTTCCCTGCTGGCTCAGAGAGCGCCGCCCCCGTCCGCGGCCGCTCCGCCCGGCCGCATCCATCAGCAGGTGGACCTCGTCCTCCGTTAACCGCACTGGGACGACCAGAGCAGCCTCCTCCGGGTCCGCTGCAGAAGACAAAATGTTCATACACACATCGCAGCTGCGGCTGGCCAAAAAAAACAAGGCGATCCCATCAAGGACGACGCCTTACAGCGAGACTCCAACTGCAAAGTATGATTTGCGATGCAACGCCTATAGGAAGACGCGCATTTGGCGGAGATTAATTAAATCAGATCCCCCCCCCCTCATCTATAAGGGACCGGACTGTAACTTCGCCAAAGTTTCGTTTTTAAGATTTTTCTAAAGGTGTTATTTTGGCCAGACATCTTTAAAGATTGTTTTCTTTAAAGGCTAGCCATGTTATACTCACAGAAGTATGCACGATCAGACTGTGATTAAATTTATATGGTGCAGCGTTCAAACTGTCAGTGCAGGCTAAAACTTGCGGACAGGCATGACGTGGATGAATGAAACCCCAAAAGGCCCCCAAACGATTGCATCTACGTGGACACGGAGGCAGTACGCCTTAAATGCGTGCGATTTGGATGCAGTCTGCTTTAATAACATTTATAAACTGTGACATCCAGAGGGGTAAAAGCGCAGGTGTACTCCTGCCTTACCTGCTACTGCCGACAGTCCAAAGCTTAAAAGCAGCGAAGACAGTATTAAAAGCCGGAGACTAAGGCTGTCACACATGGTAAGGCGGCGCCAGGGCTGTAGCGGCGGACGGAACGGGACGCGCTGAGCCGAGGCAGCCCGGGCTGAAGCGAAGTTCTCCAAACTTTGAGAAATTAATGAGCTGCAGACAAACTGAACTTGAAACGATCGACACGCCTGTCCGCTCTAAGGACGACCCCCACCGGAATGCGATTGGCCCAAACAACGGGCGAAAGAAAATCCCTGAATTCCCATTCGTTTATCTTCATGCCATTCTTTCTTGTGGGCTGACACAGTACACGTGGTTTGCCCCTAATCAGTGCACAGTGTGTGTAGTGTACGTATGGGTAGTGCGAGTGGTGGGGTTTTTTGCCCCCCCCCCCTTATTTATTGGCCCAGCCACATTGGCCCTGAATTTGGAATCAGAGGACAGAAAGTCTGAGGAACAGCAAAAAAAGAATTCTTCAATGTCACGAATGTACTGTGCAGAGTGTAAAATTGATATCCATGATGACTTTTTTCCAGCCAGACTCTCTAACTTTTATTGACGTTTTTCCTTTCATTTCTATCCCCAATTTACTTTGAAGCAATAAAGCAAAACATATTGCTAAACCTAGTAAATTACTAAATACAGGAGTGGCCATGCTTATAGATTAATAGTGATAAACAGAATACATTTTTTCAAAATCAGCAGTCGTTTAAAAGACGTATATGCCATACATTTTTTGTCTATTCCCTGAAGGAATGGAGAGTTTACAGTCAATGAAGTTTCTCTCGAACGTAACGCTGGATTGGGGAAATAGCACAAAATTTGGAAGCTCCTTAAAATTGGTTAGCCTGTTAAAACCAGCTGTGCATGGTTCTAAGAACTTCAGTGTTAATTCAGTGAAAGGATCAGTTTATAGGGATAGCTGCACCCTGTTTATGTTGCAGCACAAACGTGATGAGCACCAATTTCAATAGACCCCACACACCACTGAGAAAAGCAAACGCCTGAAGTTAGTGTAATAAAATGGACATTTTGTGAGCTGATTCCTAAAAATAAGAGGAACACACAGGGTTTTGTAGTGAGAGATTAGAGCCATCTGCAGAGTAGGTGGCCTTGGGGGGCACCATGGCCAGTGGATCATTGCTTTATGATGCTGTAAGGCAGGGTTTCTCAGCACAGTCTTCAGGAACCACCACACATTCCACATATTTGTTCCCACCCAGCTCCCAGCCAATGAACAACACCGAATACCTGGTACAGGTGTACTGGGACCTGGGAGAGAGCACAAATGTGGGCGTCTCAGAAGCCTGGGTTGAGAAGCAGTGGGGCAGGGAACAAAATGACTGGGTAATTGGTCAGGAAATTATATTATAAATGATAGCTATTAAAAACAGATTGTTCCTTCATGCATTGTGCTGTGTGGATAGTCTCCCATACAGGCATTTCTGCAACAGACTGACAGCTCTGAGAGCAGCACGTTAGTTCCCAATACAGGGCACTGGGTCGCATTTTGATGGGTCACTTTAATATCTGCCGAACCCAGCTTGGTGAAAATATAAAGAAATGTATGGCCGTATTGAACCTCTTATTGTGAGATAAATGCCAAATAAAGAGCACCAAATTTTATTAAAAAGCCAAGAGATTCTCATTCAATACTTCAGATAAACACACATGAACCGTGGTTATAAAATGCTAAAAATAGCTGCATTACAGTTAAATCCGCAAATCTTGTAGGTATGAATAATGGTTGCTTGTTTTGGAAGTATTTTCCAAGCATTTAGTCTGTATTTTATCAGTTGCAAGTGAGATTAACAAGTCCGTGGCAAAAGAGTAACAGGTGGTCATGTGGGGGGGGGGGGGGGGGGGGGGGGGGGGGGGGGGGTCGCTCTCCTTGACACTGGGGGAGATGTGCAACCCCAGGAGATATGCAAACAGGCCACTTGTGATTGCATGGGCCTTTAACGGCTGGTGGGAGTGAAACTCTCCTCGTCCGACATGAACGAGCCCCGTTAGTGACCCTTTAAAAAGTCTGCAGCTGAACACGTTCCGTTCCCCATCCTGAAGGAAGCATTAATCCTATTTTCATCACTTTGACTTCTCACATTAGGAACTCCCCCCTTTGGCCTCAAGTCCTCAAATAACCTTGAGTTTCTTCCTAAGTTTCTTTTTAAAAGGAAAAAAGACAAAGCAAAGCACTGGATGAGAAAAGCAGCCTCCTGTTGGGACAAAGGAGGTGATTAGGAGTGTAGGGGACTTTCCAGCAGCATTCTAACTAACATTTCATCATCCCACGTAACTGGGCGACACGTAATCCAGGGAGAAAGTTTCCCAGGTGCAAATGGTCACGCCAGACAGTGTATTAGGAACATCACCACCTAAGATCCTGCCCACCGTACAAATATCCGATATCCTGCTGATTCCTGATGGACCACAAGTCCTGGGACTCTCAGGACTGCTGACTACTGAACGCAGTGCTGGTTAGAGGACTAGGGACATGGATTTTTACCATGAAGTTTGGTGCTTCCAAATCCATAGAACCCTGCTGTCATATCTTAGGTCCTGAAACAGTAGCTATATAACATTTTCCTCAAAAAGTTAACAGTTGTATAATGGGTCCATGTGAAGGACATGGACTCAGAAGGTGACGTTAGAGTCAGCACTGCCTTATCGTTTACCCCCAAAGAGCGTCCCCTCCCTCGAGTCGCCTTCCCCGAGCGAGGATCTTGTCTGACGCAGTCTGTGGATGTTCTGTCCTCTGCAGGTTCTGTGTGGTCGCAGTCCAGCCTCCTAGAGGCAGTGAGACTCACAGGGGTGAGGCAGGAGCTTTCGGGTGGCGCCCGGCCCCCCCGAGCTGAGCTGACTCCTTCTATCCCTGTGTTTCTTAAACAGAACAAAGCCAGCTGTGTCAGACTTCCTGTGGCTCTCAGTGGCTGCATGCATCGTCTTCATTCCTGCGGATGGCATCCGTCTGACGGCCAAAAACACACTGCTGCCTCACAGCAAGAAGGCAAATATCGTATAAATAACTTGAGGAATTAATCTATTTTCTACTTTACCCAACATGCATTTGTCACTGAATATGATTTTAACAATTATTTACACATTGAATTCCAACATTTATATAAAGATGTACATTAGACACCGGACGGAAAAGGGAGAATTGAGGGACAGACGTTGTAGGGACACGGCTGTAGTTATGTGTTTTGCGAACAGAGCAGCAACCTCTCTGTATGAACAGCATGGTGAACTGCTCCCTCTAGTGTTGACTTTAAGGGTTACCACTGGGCTCAGGTGCAAGGGCCTGGTGTGACTTGGCGCAGGCGGCTAGGAGAGGCTGCAGAAGGTCATGTTCTCAAACGAGGGCTTGGGAAGAAGAAAGCGAGTGGGTGGGAAGCAGTCATCTGCCCAGGATCAGGGAAGCAGATGCCGGGAAGGGATTCCAGAGAAAGTTTTACCAGGCTTCTGTCTTTATACGTTTATTGTACGTTGTCGTCAAATATGAAGAAAATTAACCTCACATCCATTTCGCTGATACACCCAGTAATGTGCCTTTTTTGTAACACGATGCAAGTTATCAGTCAACATATTTATTGAATTAAAATATAATAAAATGCAAGTTTTCATATTATATATCCCTGTTAGATTATTAATTAGTTCTTCAGCACAGAGATGAATCTTTTCACTGAAATGTTTCCATAGAACCACTGGCCTTTTCCTTCAAAAAACCTTCAAATGATTAAACAGAAAAATGATTCAGGGAAGTAAATAAGTAGCTGAACTTGTCTGAGGGAAACAGTTGGAGGAGATCTAACCTAGTCAGGGTGGGCGACTGAGTCTCCTGTTTATCGACACTAACCGTTTCTGCTAATTTCAGCCTAAGAAGAAGGCATCTGAACATATTTGAACTAAACAAAAAGTACTAAAATACATCCCATCCAAGGTGGACCCCAGCAATATGCCCTCTACTGCCTATGCTCCAGCCCCCCCCCTCATGACCACGAGCAGGAAAAACAGTGAGAAGATGGATGGATGGATGGATAAGGAGAACACTCAATGTGTATTCAGTAGGTCTGTCAATATGAGCATAATTGTGTTAATCAGGCCCCAGATAGAGATATTTATTTTGCATAAAAATTAGAATGGCTCTACAATGTACAACTGTAGTCTAATCATCGTTTGTAAGTTATGTCCTGCTCTCTGTAATCAGCAGAGGGGACACCACGCCTGTATCGTACGTAAAAATAAGCCAGACTGTTATTTAAAGCTTCAATGTTGACACAGTGAAAAAATGCCCCCCCACCCCCAAGTTCCCATGCCTTTTGTCTCAGCCCAGCTGCGTACCTCAGGCGATCTGACAAGTGGGTCACACGCACGGTCACGCTTCGTGACTCCGTAGCGTCTTTAACAGGACACGCCTCTGCCACACGTGTCAGTGAGACAAAGCGGTTTGTGCACGGGAGGAAAAACAAAGACCAGAGAAACCAGTTTGATGTTGACGACACTAGGAGTAGCCGGGGGTGGTGTGGGGCGGGGGGGGGTGAGGGTGTCGTCAGTGAGGACAGGGCGAGATGCAGCATTATCGCTGTTTGATCACCACTGGGAGAATCCTTCAGGCAAGCGACCTGCGCTGATAGCCTGCCATCGTTACTTAATGGTGGCCGTGTGTTAGCATGAGCGGCTACGTTCAGGGTTGGCAGCGTGGATGTTCGGATGAAGAAAGTGTCCTCCTGCGTGCTCCTTGTCGCATCCTCCTTTGTCTTCTTTCCCAGGACTGTTGCTTTCTCATCGTCATCACTTCCACGTCTCTCAGCCGCGTGCATCCTCAGTGAGTGCCATTAGCCCCGCTAACGCCGTTAGCGCCCACTGGCCCTGAGCCGTTGCCAAGTTTCTGGTATGTTTCATCCTCTGTTATACTTCCTGCATCTTCTTCCTCTTCGTTGTCACTTCTATCGTCACCCGTCAGCTGTGGGAGGAGGGATATTCCATCACTAATCAAATACATACATCATTTTCACTTAGACGGCTACTGGGCCGACTAACAGCCAAATCGGTTGGGTCAGGTCAGGTCAGGGCTGCCTCTCTGTTGCGCAGCGAATGAATGGATTCAAAGTTTCCCGCTAATTCCAGAGCAGTGGAGAGACTCTTCAGACAGCACTCTATAAACAAAACACGCAAGAATTTAGAAGTCTTTGGGAACATGGAAAAGAAAGAACTCATGCAAAGAGGGGATCTTCCAAACAAGATCGCTTCTCTGATTCCTTAAAAGGGATCTTTAACCCTACTATGCTACAAGCTGATCGAGATTCTCCTTAATTTGTAAAAGTGCCCTTTATTACAGTATGTCTCAACCTGTTCCTCAGGCACTCCAAGACGGTCCACGTGTTTGCTCCCTAACAGGAACTGGGACGGAGTAAAAACATGGACCGTCTTGGAGTCCCTGAGGACCCATTACACCTGCTGTTGAACAAGTACCTCGGCAATTAATTCATTAGAGAACGTAACCCCAACTCATTAATTTCCACGAACACCTCAGAAAACAGCTGGGAGGGTAGATAGGTAGGGGGTAATGTTGAGGCATCATAAAATGTATATGATCGGTGGAACAATTCTCATCTGCTGTCTTCTACTATTATGTATAATCTGTATTTATTTGAAACTTTTTTAAACTGTTTGAGATTACAGTGTGATTGTGGGATCTTTTTCTAAACTTAAAGCTCTGCTTTCTGTAAAAGAAGAGTGATTTAATGAGTAATAGATCCATTTTAAATGGTCCTTTGCAGTACACTTAGCCCCTGCGGGGACACCAATACAAACACCACAAGCCGTTCTCTTCCAAGAAACCGTCATTCCTGGCTGATACGGATCACCTGCCATCACCATTAATGCTAATAGGCTGAAAAGTCAGTGCTGGGCTCACGGGGAAGCTTATCGCCCCGAGCAGAACCGGCCGACTGCTTCCCTTCCACACCTGTGGGCCCATTCCGGGAAAATAGTCTGCAGACGCCCCTGCGCCGAATCGGAGGCGTAGCGTGACACGGCCCCCAAAGCCGGGGGTGTGGAGAGGGCAGAGAGTCACACCAAGATGTTTCTCCCTCCCTCCATTTTTGCGTAATGGAAAAAACAACAGTTAAGGAGGTGAGCTTCTGACCCGAAGGTCACCACTGAGGTCCGCGAGGACCCGGTTGCGGTGCCCTCTAAGGTGCCTATATTTTTTTTAACAATGATCAGCCAAGCCTCCCAGAGCAAGACGACTGACAGACTATGAGAGACAAATCCCCCCCCACCCCACCCCCATAGAGCACCACTGGACCATAACTTGGGTCAAGGCCCATACGTCACACCTCGCTCCATATGCGCCCCCTCCCTGCACACGTTATGGCTCGTAAAAGCTGCCGGACGGAACCTTCCGGGCGGTCCTCGGAAAAAATAACACGACACAAACAACACTGTGCTTAACCGGATAGGTAGAGGGTCTCCAAACGGTTCGGCACAGCTAAAGCGGTTATGAACAGACTGTCTCCACATGTCCGCAGCATCCGCTGCCTTTGCAGCCCCAGGGCAGTGCACTTACGTTGCCAAAGATGAACTTCTTCACCATGTGGAGGATCAGATATGCCCAGAAGATATGCAGGAGTAATAAGACCACCAGCATCACGTTGAAGAAGTAATATCCAAAAAAAGCTGGATAGAGCTCCACAGGATAGACCCACGTGCAGTGGATGAGCCTGGATTAGATGCAGAGCAGAGAGAGATGGTTTTATTTGGCAGGGAGGAGATGAGTAAACCTCGTGTAAGCATTCCTAAAGCAACACTATAGAGTTCTCATAACGTAAGATTAATGTGGCAAGTATTTACATATCTGCTGTGTCCAGCCAAGATGACCCATTTTCAAGTCTGTCTGGCCATTCATTCATTCATTCATTCATTCATTTGTTCATTCCCCCAAACCCATTTTGTAGTCCAGGATTGCAGGCTGTCCATTGTGCACCCTGTACAAGATGGCAGCCCAATACAAATGGCATATGCACACACGGACACACGTTAAGGGTCATTTAGAGTCACCAATCCGTCTAAAACTGTGGGAAATCAGGGAGTATTTCAGGAAACCCCTATGAAAACAGGAAACTCCACAGACACAGGACCTGGACCTGCAGCCTGGGTGGTGTGGGTCACGGCGCTGCTCACATAATACTTACAATCATATCATATAATGTTACTTTGCCTTCACAGCTTAACACGTTAAAGTTTTGCTTTTCACATAAACACCCCTTTTGAAGGTGAATTGGTAAGAGTTACGCACAGTTCCTATTCTTAATGGCCACGTGACTCTGCAAGTGACCAAACACGTGGACCGCTGCAGGTCCCCGAGGGCCAGACTGTGAGACACTGCAGTATATTAGCAGGGATGTGGTCGCCTGCGGAGCAGAGGTGGGCTCACCAGAACGGGAAGATGACCAGCCGGGTGAGGATGAAGATGACAGCGAAGAGCACAAAGATGCTGTTACAGGTCCTCTCCCACTTGGCGTAGTTGAACAGCTTTGCGGACTGGAAGGGAGCAGAAGGAAAAAACGGCTTAACTGTGTCATTGGGCAACACTTTACTTGACGGGGCACAAATAATATAGTATTATGCTATTACTTATGTATTCGTTAGCCACAAACTAAGTCTTAGTTACATATTTACCTCATGTTTGTTCATCATTAATGAATCGTGATCCATCTTTTATCTCAAGCAGTAACTACATTTGTTACTATATCTGTCAATTTTGTTAATATTTTTGAACTTCTGAAGGAACAAGTCATGAATAACAAGTGAAATGCTGACCTCATGTTTGTTCATCATTAATGAATCATGATGTATCGTTAATCTCTAGTAGCTACTGTATTGGTTCATGATTTCTTCATGATATCTTCATGATTTGTACTTCAATAAAAAGCTGCTGCTATGTATTTGTGCTCCCTCGAGTAAAGTGTGACCTGCCTTTGCAAAAGGGGCCTTTACCTCCAGCAAAACATCAGAGACGTCATGGGTGATCATGACCATGGTGCCGATCCGGATGTAGTTCGCACACCAAGAAAAGGAGAGCAGGGTCAAAGTAGCCACATGGTGAATAACCTGCTCCTTAAAGTCCTAAGAAAGCAGCCAAAAGGAATACAAATAGGCAGTAAGTAAATAGGCCACAGCATTCCTGCTAAAGTCATCTATGCAAAACAAACAGCTAAACAAACAGCTGCTTTCCAGATCCACCCAACAAACCAGATCAGCAAAAAAAACACACACACTTAAGAGAGGACCTTTGAGGGCTGATAAAAGCATCTCCAGACTGAATGGGTGTAAAGCAGAGTATAAATCAAAACTTGCCTTCCGTTTCACATCAAAAGTGATCCTGAACAGCAGAGACAAATAAAAGCTCAGCTCAATGATGTAATACCAGTACTGGGATGGCAGCATCGTCTGCAATGACACGGGAAAGAGGCAGGAATCAGACTCTGAACAGGCCACATGCTCCATTTATTCTATGAGGTAATGCTAATCATGCGGCGATGGCCTGCAAAAGGGCCGGAGAGAGAGGTGGTGTCGAACAGTGCAGATCAAATATAGATCGAGCCAAATGTTTATGCACTTTTGGTGTGTTTTTGCAGCAGTTTACTGTAGCTAAAACCCAACATAATCCTAATAGCGACGTGCCAATATGGCTGGCGTCAAGGTTCGCCTGATTACATCTTGGCACCGAGTGCAGAATGGGAGATATTCCAGAGAATAATTTAACTTCTTATTAGAAAACGGAGGGTTTACTTCTAAATAAGGAGTGGAGCTCTGTTTAATTTGGAAGCAGACAGGTAATTATTGTCAGCAACACAGGGCCGGTTGTAATATTCGGACCGTTTTGGGATGAGGAACACATACGCACCTGCTTTGGAAAGCCTGCCCACACTTCACGCGTGTCATAAAACCAGGGTTTCTGCAGAACATAAGGGGCAAGAGAGCTACATAAACCAGATCTCTGTGTGCTGAAAAGAGGATAACACAAATCTCAATTATAGCATACAATTTAGGTGACGTAAACATCAGCGCTAAGCTCTGCTCCCCTTCTCAAATCTAGCTGCGAAGCCTCAAACAGCGGTTCCCTTGGAAACCCTCTTTTCCCTGCCCACCACATCAGCCCCCCCCCCCACAGGGATACAATCCCATAACAGAGGTAATCCATTTTAAATTAGAGCCCCCTGCCTTCTCTGTTTCACTCCAGCAGTTCTAATGGTGCTGCTGTTTCCGACAGCTCACCGAGGGAGGGGTGACCGCAGGCACATCAACAGCATTGCAATTTGGAAAATCAAGGAATCCACTGTAGGTAATGCCACTTTACGGACATTCGTGAACTTTGCCAGAGCAACGTTAGTCTTGAGCCCAGTGGCCCCTGCTGTTTCCAGATGCCCACCGGCCTCGGGGCATCTCGCATGGCACCACTGAATATCGCATGCTTGATTTCACTGTTGCTAAGGACTTGGGAATAGCCAGAGAGGAAAGAAGGGGTCTTGGAGTAGTCCTCCTCTTCGGTTTGGACTTTTCTGTGACTGAAAGAAACCTCTTGGCAATTTCTTCAATCCTTAGGCATAGAGCTGGATGCGCGCGGTTCCAAAAAAAGAGGGCTACCATGACGGGGGTACCTGAACTTCACCTGAGAGCTGGATAGATGATGAATTCACGAAAAATGCTGGGCAATATCCTTTGAAGGCCTTGTTTGGCCTTTGGGGTGAGTGTGCATTGCATGGCAGGGCAGCACAATGGCGTGAAAGCTGACCATGCTGACGAAAGTAGCTCGAAAAAGGCAGAAAACACAGGAACTTATATAGAAATGCTTTATTGAGCTCAAACGTCGGCACACTTTTCTCATGAGTCATACTAGTACATCACAGCATAACAACAATACTCACGTCATTAAGGGCTATGAAGCCTCCAATGCAAGCTGACAGATAGAAGACGCATCTCCAACTGCAGAGAGAAACACAGAATTGCTCATGAGTGCTGGTATTACATGTAATGTTCCCGAGGCTGGTGAGAAATCAGGCAGTTTACCTGGCCTCCCTAAACTTCTTCAGCAATCCGGGCCGATCTCGGTTGCGTCTCTTCCGGAACCATCTTTCCACCTGCCTCCTCGTCCAGCCGCACTTCTTAGACAACCCATCAATGTCGTTCTGTGTGAGGAATGTAGGGTGAACAACGTTGAGATGACCTCTTGTTAGAACATCCAGGGCACAGTGACCTAAGCAGGATGGCAGAGAAGTACCAGGGTGACACAGCGGTGGGGCAAAGGAAGAGGGAGCAGAGACGGCAAAAAGCGGAGGAGTCACAAGAACTAGGGAGCCTGAAGAAAAACACACAGGAAAATAAAACACATGTCGGCTGGACATCAAAATCTGGACTAAGAGAGAAAAATAATTGTCACCTGACTCCGCCCTGCCTTGGGACAGGCACACCCTGCTGTGACTTATGACACCATTACACCAGTCGTTCAAAATTCTGCACTGTATTCACTGCGCTGCAGTGCAATGGCACTGTGGAATTTTTTTTCATAAGCCTGCAAGCTTTTTTAATTAAAGCAAGTTTACCCACAATGCTCATGGAATCAAAGCAAGAAACACTAATAATCCCGCAGAGGAGTTCCAAACCCCATCGGCCATTTGCACCGCGGGGACACTTTTCTGTAACAAAAGGCCACTGGCTCATGAGAAAGGTGGAGATGCTGTGACTCAGCTATTGCAGAGGATTGGGCAAGCCTTGGCGTTGCATTACAACCACGCTCTCAGGCTTCCTTACTGTCAACACGAATAAGGCTGATGTGGTTAAACACCTCAAACATCATCGTAAAGCGGCCGATGCAAACAGCCTTTCAGGCGTTTACCTGTCCTGGATTCCTGGAGCGGGAGATGAAAAACTTCTCCAGTATCGCATTGTCAGCAGGTTTCTGCTGGATTTTGTCCCTGATCCCAAAGGAAGTTGCTAAAGGTGTGGCTACTGATCTGGGAAGAAGAAGAAAAAAAAAACAGGATGAATGAAAGGAGAGGGTGGAATCTGAAACCAGAGGCGGCTTCAGGCTGCTGTGTGCATCTTGCATGGTCTGTAGCAAGAGCACAGATCCACGCTAACGACTCGCTCTGGGCACCTGGACTATAGTCAAGCAGCCACACATGAAGAGAACAATAGGGTTAGAATGCGGAACACCACAGGAAGCACTTTGTTAATCAGTAATTATCCACCGAGAAAACGTGATGTAAGTCATGTCTCATTTCCATTGCTATAATCTGTACTTACTAGACACAGCAACAGAGATCAGGAACATAAACATAAATCTGAAATCTGAATCTGAAACAAGGAATCAGCCAGTCAGCTTTTTCAAACTCAGCAGCACAAACCAATCAATCAATAATAAAAATGTAAGTGTAAATATATCATTATACATACATTATATGGACATAATTATTGGGACACACAACTTAATCATTGAATTCAGGTGTTTCATTCAGACCCATGGCAACCGGTGTATAAAATCAAGCACCGAGCCATGCAGTCAGGTTTACAAACATTTGTGAAAGAATGGGTCATTCTGAAGAGCTCAGTGAAATCAAGCATGGTGCCGTCATAGGATGTCACCTTTGCAAGTCAGCTTGTGAACTTTCTTCCCTGCTCGATATTCCATGGCCAGCTGTAAGTGGTATTACTGCGCGGTGGAAGCGTTTAGGAACAGCGGAAACTCGGCCATGAAGTGACTGAACGTGTAAAGTAACAGAGCGGGTCCAAACTCCCTCTGGCATTAACCCCAGCATGAAAACTCTTCGCCAGGAGCTACAGGGAATGGGCTTCGGTGGCCGAGCAGCTGCTTGCAAGCCTCTCAGTGTCAGATGGAGTGTAAAGAACGCTGCCACTGGACTCTGGAGCAGTGGAAACGTGTTCTATGGAGTAACGAATCACGCTTCTCTGTCTGGCATTGTGATGGACGAGTCTGGGTTTGGCGGATGCCAGGAGAACGTGACCTGCCTGACTGCACTGTGCCACCTGTACGGTTTGGTGGATGAGGGATAATGGTATGGGGCTATTTTTAGGGGTTATGTTAGACCCTTTAGTGCCAGTGAAGGGAACTCAAAAATTCCCACAGACACGCTCCAAAATCTTGTGGAAAGCCTTCCAAGAAGAGCGGCATTTGTTATAGCTGCAAAGCGGGGACCAACTCCATATTGGTGCATATGTATTTAGAATGGGATGTCATAAAAGTTCCAGTAGGTGTACTGGCCTGGTGTCCCAATACTTTTGTCCATATAGTGTATATATCACCTTACTTTGACAATGTCCCCCTAACACAATGAGATGGACAACACAGGATACATAATATATGCTAAATGATGTATAACATCGTACCAGTACTGCATGTAATTTCAAAATCATAGCGAGCATTTAGCAGCCACATAATACCCTTTTATTTTAGGCTTATTGGTTTCTTATTGCACGTCACTGGCATTATTTCGGCTCGTTCCCACGGTAACCTCAACGCGCCGCGTTGCCTTGTGAGTAGAGCCCTGCCGTGGCGTGTTTACATTTGCCTTTCTGCTGACGGCTTACCTTTCAAACAGGTATCTGACTAAGAGGAACAGGATGGCGTACGGGACGGTGGCATACAGGTCGGAGGCCTTGGCGTAAACACGACCCTCCCTGTCCTCCAAGTCCGCCCAGGTCAGGTTCACAGGGAGCCAGATGCGATCCCACCAAAACCACTCCTGGATGGTCCTGAACATGGTGCTGGAAGGGAGGAGGAACAGGACCTCTTAGAGCTCAGGCCGCTCCTGCAGCTAAAACTGGACTGATAACAACCATAAAAATATATACAGGGACAATTAAGAGAGTGGAAGCCACAGAAACATGGCCATAATTATCACTGATATCGATAATTATTATATACATGAGCGATAAAGGGTGATACAAGGGCAAAGTTCTTCTGTTATTCCTGTGGGTTTACAAACAGGCAATGTTGTTAGTTCCTTATTTGCAAAGCATTGTTTACTCAGAAGTTAATATTTAAAGAACAAAAAAAAAAACAGTTTCCTGAAGCACTCTCCACGCCTTCTGTCAGCAAACCTGAAGCTGACAGATTATAAAAGTCAAGCCCGGAGCCTAGAAACAGGAGCCGGCTGGGGAGCCGAGTTTCAAACTGCCGCCTTTTTAAGTTCAAACGAGCAGAACCCAGCCTAAGAAAGGTCACAATGACAGACTGAAACCCTGGGTGCAGCCTGGAGGAGTGAGCCCAGTGCGTGTGGAGACAGGACATGTGGCTGACCAGGTAAAGTGAGTCCCTAGTCAGCAGAGGCAGGAAATCTGACCTTTTTAAGCCTTATTTCCTATTACATGCGTACACAATGTAGTGAGACCTCCCCCACCCCAGATACAGTGACCAGAGATGAGCGTGGATCACCAAGCCAGAATCACCTCTCCAAGATACCACTCCAAAACCTGGCTTTTTATAACAACCACCAATCGCTGTAAACACGAATTTAATTTCAGAATTTAATACGACCTGATTTAGAAACAGGGGGGAAAACCTGATAACTAAGAAGAGCAATAAATTCTACCTACTTAGAAATCACCTGCCAGCAGATAGAAATAAAAAAATTTTTAAAAAAAAACACACAAGTAATACGGTAATGAAATCCATATAATCCTATATTTCACAGCAGGGATCTGTTGTTGACCGTAGGTTAGGTACATAGTTTAATCAGTTCAAGGGAATGCACAGTCTCCCCTCAGCCCTTCTAGAGTTCCAGTACGGTAAACTCTCTCTCTCTCTCTCTCTCTCTCACACACACACACACACACATACACAAGCAAACATATATACTCACAGACACACACACCCACACACACCCAGCACACACACAAACATGCGCACTACACACACACACACACAGACACATACATACGTAACGAGTTCACCTGCCGACTTACTCTACGCCTGGATTCCTTCCTCCATACTTCTCGCCTCCCACACCGTTTGATCTGCGTGTTTCCCGTCCGTCTTCACGCGAAGCGTTAAAGCGGAGCGGATCCGTTTGAGACGCAAAACACTGACCGAGATCAATCGGCTCCACACCCCGAATACTTTTAACAGGATTAAAATACTCTTACGTGTTCTGAAAATAACATTAGCCTACTTGCCATCTATAAAATCTGAAATCTGTTTGCAACTTTCATCTTTACATAAGGCACCAAGTAGCCTATGCAATTATTAAAATCCATAATCACCTGGAAATTAAACAAGCATAAAAATTCAAGGAATGTGAGCAGTTTGCGGATGTTTTTCTTTAGATTTAATTGTTCTTTTTTTGCTAGATTGTTAGTCCAACCTTTTACAGCACTTTAGATAATTTTGTAAATGCGGTCAACGAATTTCACCTTCAAACACAAGTTTTGTTGAATGTGTATGTTCCCGAGGGATGCGCCCAGTCTTTGCACGCCGCTGTATGCCGCAGCACCCACCTCTCCCTGCGACGTGACCCATGCATTCCCCAAGTCTAAACTCTGATATCTCGTGAAAACACAATGTACTTATTTCTTAAAAGTCCATGTACCGTTTAAAACCATTAAAAGAAGTCAACCATCACCGGAGCTCTGATTGACAGATAACTGAAAAAAAATCCCCCTGAGAAATTAACTGGTTTCCCAGCACATCTCTGCCAAAGTCATGAACTCACGTAATTTCCCATTCTTTTGGGACCGATTGAGTCCCTTGTCAAACTTTCTTAGATAAACGCGCCCTATTTCCCTCGCTACATGATCGGTCTGCATCACCGGACGCATGACAGCCGCGAATCCGATCACTCAAGGAGCGCTTGTGGCTTTGAATGTGGTTCCTGTAATTAACCCCCCCCCCCTTACAAAAAAGTACTCATATGAAATGAAACATGAAAAAAGAACCCCCCCCCCCTTTACCTTGACACGGTCGGCTCCGATAAGGTGGGTTCAACTGCCGGACTAGGGCTCTCACGCTTTAATGGGATCCAGTAGCAGGCATGGTGGCGTCGCCAGCCCCGGCAGGCACTCAGCCTTTGTGCGGGTCACACCCTGGCTCGGCTCCTATTCACGTCTTTTGACGACGCAAGGTGGCTGACTGGCTGTCTGACTCAGCACAGGTGATTTACCTGTGTTGGGGAGGCGGCGGGTGCCCAAGGGCTACAAGTTTGCCCGTGACTCCGCATTGTACTTGTAGCGGGAGCAGCGCGGCTTCCGTTACACGGTCCGTGGGGGCAGAAGCGCCGACGGCAGAAAAAGGGAAGAGTATAACTAACTCTGAAAAGCCTATAACTAACTCTGAAAGGCCGGTAAGATGTGAAGGGCAGGGCAGGAGTTCACTAAGGAGCTGCGGGATTTATCTCTTTTTTTCAGGACCGCTTTGTGATCGCCCTTAATGAATGATCTCAAGTGCTCTGCTCTGATTTAATAGCGCAGGTATTTTGTATGTCTTATTAAAACACGAAGGCTTTTGTGTATGTTTTTTGAGAACTTTCATCCGATCCCAAATGTATCAAAAACTGGGGCACTGCTGGAATTTAATCTTCCTCTTGTGATTTTCACCTTTTGAAGTGTTTGTAATCTTGAGAGCAGGATCGGTATGCCCACAGCCAGAAATATAGATATTTTTGGATGGTAGATTTGCTCACTGATTTAGCCAACTGGAGGGGAGTGGGGGTGTCCCTCAGGAGATTTTGTCAGGGTAGAGCATAAACTTTTCGTTACTGCCTTCGTGTCTGAACGCCAGCAAACTAATTTTGAGGGTTCAAATCCATAATTGTACTATACTACACTACTCACAATAAGTTAGGGATATTGTTATTTACATGAGTGCTTTTCCTATTTGCTCTGAATTTTAATGAAATAAATAAAGGTTCCCTTTGATATTACTAAGAAACACCATTTTCATCAGTTTAATATTTATTACCCCAAAAATTTAGACAATAACAGGGATAGCCCCAAATAGCAAAAATTGACAATGTCAGAAGACAATGTTTCCACCATTTGCCGCAATGACAGCTTGACAGCGACGTCTCATGCTCCTCACTAGCCTCTTGATGTTGTCCTGAGGCAATGCGTTACACTCTTCCACAAGTGCTACACGCAGTTCTGCCAGGTCACGTGGGGGTGGGGTACGATCATCCAGTCTCTGCTTCAACTGGTCCCAGACGTGCTCTATGGGGTTCAGGTCAGGGGACATTGATGGCCATACCATATGAGGCACTCCAACCTCCTGAAGTCGAGCTGTGACAATTCTGCCACGATGTGGTGGAGCATTATCATCCATGAACAGAAAGTTCGGGGTGTGCTGGCGGAATTGGGGGATGATGATGGGTTCTATGATGTCTCTGAGGTAAGAACGTGCAGTGACTGAGCCATGTACAATAACCAAATCTGTTTTGCACTGACTGGTGATGCCTGCCCAGACTGTTGCACCTCCTCCACCAAAGCAAACCCTGGGGACCATGTTGACCTCAGCGTATCGCTCACCTCGCCTTCTCCAGCAACGCTGACGACCATCATTTCTGTGCAAGGTGACCCGACACTCATCAGTGAACAGGACGGTAGACCACTGCTACATTGCCCAGGTCACATGGTCTTGTGCCCACTGCAAACGTTCACGGAGGTGTCTTGGTGTCAGTGGAGTCACCTGCAACGGTCGTCTGGCATTCAAGCCAAAGCGGTGGAGTCGGTTGCGAATGGTTTGTCTGGAAACCCTAGTACCCCTCGCATCTCGTAAACAGGCCTGCAGCTGTGTGGCAGTTGCATGACGATGTCTGAGTGCATAGGTCCTTAGGTACTGGTCATAGTTGCGGTCTGTCACTCGTGGGGCTCCACTCTTGGGTCTGTCATGAACTCTGTCAGTAGTTCTGTGTCTTGATGCAAGTCTGCTGATGACACTTTGAGACACACCAAGTTCACGAGCAACATCTGACTGCCTGCCACCGACCCGAAGGCGTGACCATGGCCAGGTGGCGCTGCTCGTCCGTTAAGTGACGTCGTGTGTTCATGGCTGTTTGAATGTTGAAATTGATGCCACATTGAAAAGGGTTGTCTTTTGGTATTGGCCCCAATTTAAGGCACACCTGTACACAATGAGACCATTACATGGAAAACACAAAATGAGGTGTGTCTATCACCCCAATACAATTGCCTCCCTATCCCAAAAATGTCTGAAGTGAAACAAACACCGTATGTATGACATCCACTAAGTCTCTCACAATATCCCTAACTTACTGTGAGTAGTGTATATGGCCATGTGTCTGATGGATGGACACAGTCGTCCTGTGGTGTTTTCAACACAAAATATTGTGTACAAAACAAAGCTTTTGCTTACCGTACAAATCCTGCATTGAATTTATGTATACATGTAAACACCAATTCCACCTCCCCCCACACACACAATTGTGATACAAAAAAATATTTATTACTTTTTATCAAAAGTAGTCAGAGCAGTAAAATGTATTTTGCCATGGTAACCAAATGTCAAGGCTCCATTTATTAAACATATTATTGCACTTTGTCATTAATTCAACACACCAGATTAAGATAAAAACATCAGCTGATGTCTTATCTAGTGGATACTACTGATTGTCCGACAAAATGTTCACGCTGGTATCGCAGGGACAGGAGTCCAAAGGGGCTTTATCAGAATGCCGTTCCAGATTAGCCCCGATCCCCGTTAGCAGTTTCAGGAGCGAGTCAGGCTTGTAGGGGAACAGTTTTCGTTTTCGGAGCCTGAAGATAACTTTGCCCAGTTCAGTCAGGCACGTGGCTGCCCTCCTGCACATCCTAGGAGTTGTCGACTGATCCTCTTGCACCTCATCCTGTATGCGGTCATGAAGACCCACAGAGCAACCGCCCACTTTGCTAAACTCCAGGGGATGGGAGGTCATGTTCCCAACAATTGGGACACAGTGAGCACTTGGCACTTCTGAGTCAGATTCATCTGAGCTAGCGTAGTTCACTAAAGGGCGGAGTAAGGCCTGGGTGGCTCCACCAACTGAAGGTGTAGCCCAGCTACCTGAAGCCCCACCCCAATTAAGGGGGATACCTGCCGCCTTGGGACAGCCCACCGAGGCCATACTGCCATCAACAGCTGCCAGCGTTTCACTTCCACATGTGGCAGCCTTCGCCTCCATCACTGGCTCCCGGGCCTCGATGCACTGGCAGGCGAGCTCAAAGTCCTCCCAGGTGTCTCTCAGCAGCTTCAGATATCTCACAAAATAATCCAGGAAGCAGGTTTCCGTGGAGATGAGAAAGTCAAGGAGGACGCTGTGGTCGAATGCGATGCTTCTGAGCAGATAGATGAAGCAACAGTGAGGGTTGCAGCCGGTGTCACAAGCCGCCGGGTTTGAGATTCCGCTCGACCTGCAGACAAGTCCAGGGATAATCTGTTAGCACGACTTCACACATGGATCTTCACACATGGATATGGTGTAAAACTATTTATGGTAGTGTATGTTAAGTTTCCCACCCCATGCACCAAAGACCAATGAAAATATTAGGAACGCACCCCCTCTGATGTAAATACAAGCTCAGTACAATCCTGGCCGCCTCGAACATGTCGTCATCCTGCTCCCCAAACACCACGGAGACCCAGGCGCAGGAGTGGCCCAGCAACCACGCCCCGGAAAGGTGCTGGTTCACAAAAAGCATCAGAGAATGCAAGTAGGACTGGGGACCCACAGCAGGATCCAGACCTGCTGTGACAGAAAGACTAGTGAAAGAGGGAGTCCATAGCTCCCACCACAGGTAAAGCATCCATGTCATCCATATTTAAACCCAAAAAGCAATCTGAAAATAGTTATGGATCAGCACAAATAGTGAAAATGCACAAAGGCTTGTCAATTTTTAGTAAATATCGCCCCCTACTGTATGATTCATGAATATCAAAAATCATATTCTTCAATTTTTTGTCATTCAAAAAGTCTCTAAACATTAAACTTAAAAAAAAAATCTGCATACATAATTACCTTCCTCCTTTTCGTATAGGATTCTGTATTCCAGAGATTTGAGTAGCACCAGGCTTGTCGACCTTAGCATTACAAAATCCGGTCCAGAACGACTCAACAGACTGTTTCCACCAAAGTAGGCAGCTTTGCTGCTCACTGGGACACGCAGCAGCCAACCAGCAGCCACCGAATTCAGCACTGCATTTGCCAGAGCCAGGATGTCGGAGGTCATGTGACCATCCCCATTTAGCGAAAGCTCCGCCCCTCCTGTCATAAAGTCATCTCCTGTCTTTAAGAGCAGGCATGCCTTCAAGAGCAGAAGCGTCCTCTTTTGCACAAGGTAGTGAACGGGGGAACAGATCACCTGCAGGGCCACGGATGGCTGCTGGAAGACCAGCCTCTGGCTCAATGAGCAGATCTTCAGATTGAGTCTTACGGCAACAAGCACCTCAAGTAAATCCAAAACAGCTACCAGGTTTGTTGCCACGTCAAAAGTGTCATTTGCACATGACACTGGTTTGGCAGGCTCCCGTTCAATCCAGGTGAGAATTCCAGAATATAAACCAGGAAAAACTGGATCCAGTGAGATAACCAGTTGCTCCAGTGCATCTGGACAAGAAGAAAAAAGTCCAAGTTCAAGGTTATTGGCATATGCATGCAAAAACATAATACAGTACTTATGCTTTTGTTCTCTCTCTACATTACATAAAAGACATACACAAATAATAACAAATTAGTAGAAAAACAATCTCAATAAAATTAAAAAGCCTCTCAGGTTGTGTACAAATGTTCACATGATTAAAAGGAGATATACTAGGACGTTAAGAAAAGTTATTAAAGCACTGTTTCGTTCACTGCCAGGTTCTTTCATTGGATTCTTCTGATCATTTGAAAACATACCTTTCTTGTGTGTAAACATTCCCGTCAAAACTCCTTTTATCACGGTAGTGATGGTCAACAAAGAGCAGACTGTTTCATTGTCAGGGTGTGGATTCTGAAGGATTTGTATATACCTTTCCTGCCAAACACTGTCAAGTGAATTCTGTTGATAGAAAAAAAAATATGCGTTATAAACAGTTATAAAGTTTTGACTATAAAGAAAATGTGACTGCAATATCACTGTAAACCCAGTAGTGTCCAGTGCTACTTATAGGTCATCAACACCTGTGATACTGAAGACTTTTGTAATATGATACTCACAGACTCATGGAGCTGAAAAAGAATGACTGATGATATACACCTAACAGCAAAGTGTGATAATAATCGGTCCTGGACACCAAAAAAGGTGACCTGTAACAGAAGTAAACGAAAATATTTTAATAAATTACACTTTAATTACCACAACGTTCAAAAAGCAGTCAACTAATTATATGCTGCTTATACAGAAACTTTCATATTTCTGTATACAAAACCTGAATAGTGAGAAACTGATTATGCCATATAAAAAAAACCGAGTAAATCATAGTTAATATTTCAATTAAAGGTGTTATATGTATAAATGCATGCAATTTAATATTCGGTCAATTTTTCCATCTTACAAGCTTCGAAGAAAGAGAGAAGTCTTCCAGTGCGTTTATCAAAACTTCCTTGCAATAAAGCCTCGTTTGGTCACTTTGGCTCCCAGAGAGCAGTTTGGTACTCGTGCTTCCCAGCAGACTGAGTGCAAAGCACACGATTTCCTTTCTTTTCTGTCCTTCCCCGTTGGTGCAGGGATGGAACCGCGCTGACAAGGTCTGATAGTTGCTATTTTCATGCTCACATGAACCGGCCGTCTGGCAAAGCAAACAAGTCTCGGGCCAGCTTTCACAGATAACTGAGCACAACATCGATGCCACTTCGTGACTTCCCTTCGTTGGACGCTTTCCCGCCAGCAAACATTTGTGCACGTCTTGTAAAATGAAGAACATATCCATGCTGGTTTTCCGAGTAATTTTGTCTGTCACGATATTATCAGAATTGTAATTATAGATCTCCCGTGCTTTATGGCCAAGCAGGTCTTCCTTCCATATGGAGCTACAATTATGGTCGTGTTACATTTATTCCCATGATTTTTAACTTACATCTTGTCTTATGCACCAATGGCTTGTCAACTCCGCCAAGTCGATATAAACATTCAATCTAGTAGGTTATATGTATGACAAACAACGTAACTCCAAACACGTTTCGTTCTTCGTTTGTCGCATTGCTCTTTTTATAATGTTTTTGAACAAAATTTGCAGCAATGAAAACTCACAGCATTTAACTAGTAGTGGCACTTTCCTATTTATAGTAGACTCGGAAATACATTCCCATTCGTACACCCGCTCGCGACTCGCTGCTCGACTTCCGGCTTTCTTCCCATTGCATACTGGGAGTCGTAGTGCACATCACCACAGCTCGACACCCAGAATCTCGGTAAAATGACTTACTCGAGCTGTACGAGCAAAACAGTTCCGCTGCTCTGTTCGATGAAGCAAAAACCCGCTGTGCTATTCTGAGACTGAATAAAATACCAGTTAGCAATCCGTCGACGAGCAGATGACTTACGGGTCGCAATCTCAGGATCCAGTTTTTGCGGCAGGATGTTGTTATGCCATACGGCAGGGGGGTTGGTTTCAGATGGTACTATTCAACTCTGCACAAATGTAATCAAATATTAATGCACTTTTAACAGTACCAATCGACTGCCCTGAATGTTACGAAAAACGCCAGGGAAGCGGCGCTTTCATCGTATGCACTATCACCGGTGTCTGGCCGCCTGAGAGCAGAAATGCACGGCGCTGACTAGCGGCTCCGCTAGCTAACGCATCGGGCAGGGCGAAGGGCTCGCCTGGCTGCCTGACTGTCTGGCTGCTCGATCGGCCGCCGAGCTCTTTGTGTTTTCCCCGTTTCTCTCCTTGTAGCTCGTTCCTCCGGCTCTCGTGCGCGTCCGCTTCCTCCAGTCCCTCGGGGAGCGCGAGGGGACGAGCCGAGAGATGCGACGCGCCGGAGGGGAGGCGTGAACGGCGGCGGCGGCGGCGGGGAACCCGGAGAGGGGATCCCTGAGCGGGGAGCGGCCGCTTTACGTCTAAGGTAAGCAGCCCATTGTTCCCGTGCCGGGCCGCGGACGTCCCCGCTCTCCCTGGCCGGCTGGCCCTAAACCCCGCAGCGCGCACCCCCACACATAGACCAGCAGCACGATGCCCGACTTTTCTACATTTCGCCCACCCGCAGTGCATAAGGCGGTTATCTACTTTGCGGGTATGAACGCGAACAGTCCGCCGGCCCCCAGACAATCCTTTGAATAAGGAACTGAGCACAATGGTGGGACACGGGGCGTCGGTGCCCCCTCCCCAGTGTCTGGGGAATACCGGGACTGGTTTCGCCATAGACGGGACCAGGATCTGTCAGGCAGACAGAGTCATGTTAAATACCAGGAAAGATAACTGGGTTATAATGAAAAACACATACCTGCCATTTGTCACAGCTAGTAAGACGACGATGGTGATGGTGATGCTTAACTAGCGGTCTCATAGACCTATTGTACTTAAATACGGACTCGCCTGTATATCTTTCGGTCATGTAGTTATTAATAAACGTATTATACGTTCATAGTAGTTGTAGTAGGTTGCAAATAATGGTAAATTGCATCTATCTTGTCAAGTGTAATCAACTTGCCTTGCAGCTAAACTTTTAGGAGACGTTATGTCAGTAACTTCTGTGACCATAGTAAATGTGAATTTGACACTTTATCAAACAGCAGTGTTTCATCAGATTACTTTTTTATGGGCTGTCATTTGTTGTTCGTATTTGACAAATTCCGTCAGTTATATTTTCCTTGGTATGTTTAGACTTCAGTAAAATTGTCTGTGTTCATCTGCTATATTGACTGTTTTGGTTATTTATTAAGCTTTGAACAGGTACTGACTTTGCTGACCTTTGACCTTTTGACACCACCCTTCCGCCCAGCAGAGAGACGTGAAATCTGCCCAGGCTGCTACGTAGCCTTTCGTGGCGTAGATCTTAGGTATTCTTTCAGGATGCTTCCTCGCCACCGGGACACCGTTGCCGCTGGCAACTCAGTCGACACGCATGTCCCTCTTCTGTTTTCCAGTCAGCGGGCTGGTCTGGATACATGTGCCGCAGCCTCTGACGAGATGTGACAGGATGCTGCACCATCACTGCAGAAGGAACCCTGAGCTGCAGGAGGAGCTGCAGATTCAGGCCGCGGTTGCCGCCGGCGATGTCCACATCGTACGCAAGATGCTGGAGCAGGGCTACTCCCCCAACATCCGGGACGCCAATGGCTGGACGTTACTCCACTTCTCGGCCGCCAGGGGCAAGGAGCGATGCGTCCGCGTCTTTCTGGAGCACGGAGGTTGGCAGCCTCGTTTGCATGTCAGAGACAGACATACGTTTATGCTCATTCGTTTGGCAGCAGATTTTGTCCAGAGGGATGTACGAGTGAGGCAGGTAATACATCACAAGCGCACAGCTGTCAAGGAGGCAGCTCTGGTGCCGGAGCTCCGAGGCTGAGCTTCTAGTGAAGGAGAAATCTGAGTCCTCCTGTTAGTGGCCCGGACACATCCGTCCTGGACAGGAGGTACCAACAAACCACACAGGCGGTTTAAACCAGTATTTGGTCAGATTCCTGCACAGCATGTTAAATTAGAGGGTATTAGCTGTAACAGAACTGGCTGGTTTTACATAACGTTATTCGAACTAGTTCAGGTTTTTGACAATTGGCTTGCTTTGTCTTGGAAAAGAATCTCGTCTAAAGACAAAGCAGTACAGAAATCGACTCATGGTGTTAGCAGCACGGTTTGTAAAACTGCCTGGGGAAGACAAATTAAAGTAATACTGTAATTAGTACTCGATAAAATTACGTATTGTGTTAAATGAGCCATTGTTTGCTTCCAGGATTTGTTTTGTTTGGCGTTTTGGTGCAGTGCCTAATTTTGAATGGCAGAGGGCGCTGTTTGCCTAGGTTTACAGGACGTCTGATAGACTTGCGGAGAGTCACGCGTGTTGGACGAAAAATGTAAATCTTGTTAATTTATTTAGCACATTTACTTATTAAGTAATTACAACTTTTATTAGGTATTTCCATTGTGCTTATATAAACTTCTTGGCGGATTTAAATATAGTCATTCATAGACTGTATCCTATCAAGTACTGTTCGACTATACCTGCATCCGAGGTCCTGTAAGAGCTTTAAGAAAGTTTATGGAGAGATGTCCGAAGCAGACATAGCAGACATATTTTGCCACGTGTGCAGCATGCTGCAAGAACCAAAACACACCGAGTGTGCTGCTGCTACAGAGGTTTAGTTAAATGTGTGTGATATTGTATATTACGTTATACAGTATATTTGGCCTTTCCCCTATAATGATCGAGATCTGTCCAGATTGACTTATGTCCTGAATTCCGGAATGGATCCTGGACGTAAGTTGATGGGCACCTGCATTTGTTTTTACTAGATGAGGATGGTTTGGGATAATTCATTTCTGAATTGTTATGTTTACTGTCATAAAAAGTTGGTCGCTTAAGGGAATAGTGTGGGTTTTAGTGGACGTCCGAGGGTCCTCACTCTTCCTGTAATGGAGAGTCCATGCCAAGGTGTTTGTGGGACGCGAAATCCCATAAATGAAAAGACACGCATGTGCTCATCCATTAATTACAGGGCCCTGGAGCCCCCGGCCTGGCATTAGACCGACTTCCAGTCCAGCGTCTCCCGGGCTGCCCACGTGTTGTTTCTCGCGAGATTAATGATTAATTGTGCGTGAAATCCTTTCCTGCTAATTAAGAGGGCGGGATTAACCTCCTGACCCCAGTCACACACTGATGCTTGACTGACGTTAATAATAATTCATTTTGACCCGGATCCTCGCTAATGGACCTCCTTATCCCCACCTCCATCCAGCCGACCCCACGGTGAAGGACCTGATCGGTGGCTTCACCGCGCTGCACTACGCCGCCATGCACGGCCGCGCGCGCATCGCTCGCCTCATGCTCGAGTCGGAGCACCGCAGCGACATCATCAACGCCAAGAGCAATGACGGCTGGACTCCGCTGCACGTGGCTGCGCATTACGGCCGTGACTCGTTCGTCCGGCTGCTGCTGGAGTTCAAAGCGGCCGTGGACCCCCTGAGTGACAAGGGCACCACGCCGTTGCAGCTGGCCATCATCCGCGAACGCTCCAGCTGCGTGCGCATTCTGTTGGACCACAACGCCAACATCGACATCCAGAATGGCTTCCTGCTGCGCTACGCCGTCATCAAGGGCAACCACTCGTACTGCCGCATGTTCCTGCAGCGCGGCGCCGACACCAACCTGGGCCGGTTGGAGGACGGCCAGACGCCGCTGCACCTCTCCGCGCTCCGCGACGACGTACTGTGTGCGCAGATGCTCTATGCCTATGGTGCCGACACCAACACCCGCAACTACGAGGGCCAGACCCCCGTCGCCGTGTCCGTCAGCATGTCCGGCACCTCTCGGCCCTGCCTCGACTTTCTACAGGAAGTCACCCGTAGGTTTCCCGGCCCGTCTGTCGCTCGATATTCGCGTTGAATTCGCCCGTTTATTTATCGTTGCCTCCGAACTCCACGTTTGATGATTTAAGGTTCGGTCTGTAGGATCGTCTTTGGGGAGTCACACTCTTTGTTGAGGCAGATAAGATATTTATCACCCCCCCCCTCCCCCAGTCCTACAAAACACAGTGTGTACAGAAGGGGAAATGCTGTTCCCTCAAACAGAAGAGATAAACAGAGGTCAAGTTACTCTTAAAGGCTAGCAGTGTGCGAAGGTAAGCTGAGGCTGGCCAGAGGGGGTGTGGGGGCACACGGTGGGGGGAAGGACTGATGATTTGGCGGGCGCAGTCGGACTCTCCCTCCCCTCACTGCACTTTGATATGGAGATATCAAAGGGACGGTTCTCAGAGCCGTGAGCTCGGGTTCCGCCCGGCCCTTCGTTCACACGGCACCTGCTTATGCAGGGAGAAGGCAGCTCCTGTTAGTGCCAGTTTGTCTTATACCCGAACCGGTCCTCCTGCCCCTGGCAGCGGGGGAGGCAGCCAGCGTGAATGGCGTGTTTGCTTGGACTTCTATAAAGACCGGGAATAAATGGAGTTGTTAAAGTGACAGAAGGCAGAGGCTCGCAGAGGCAGCAGCTGTACCTTTGTTGTGGTTTTCCCAGCTGGGCTGGTTCCTGAGCGCATCCCGTAAGTCGCAGAGCAGAAGACTGCTTTGCCTCTCCGCATATATAAACCGTGAGCCCACAGATGCCGGGAGAAGATGGGTTTGTGTACTTCAATGACTCAGTTTTCCCAATTAAGGGCCTAAAACCACTGATAAAGTGTAATCGCCGGCCTTCATGTTTAGAGGTCGGCCCCAGACTTCCGACAGCCTTAACTTTGCTTAATGGCATTTATTATTAATATTTTTGGTATTGTGATATTGAAAGTGTTCTGAGGATAAGGAACCTAATCATTATTTCATGTTGTCTATCTTAATGTGAGAGAAGTTTTACGTGATTTAATTTTTTTTTTGTTTCCCCAGCAACATGTCCTGAGCTTAGCCATGTTTACGTCGGCAGGTTTCCTCATGCCGACGGGACAGCTGGCTGTAATCTAGTGAAACTTTCTTTTTAAAATGAACTTCCTAAACACATGGGGAAAGCGTCACTGACAGTCGTCTGTCTGTCGGTTTTGCGGCGTTCCCGTTTGCTCTTGATTCATTTTGTGACGCCTGACATTAAGCGTGTCGCTGTTTGCGTTCACAGGACAGCCCCGCTGCCTGCAGGACTTGTGCAGGATAAAAATCCGCCACTGCATAGGCCTTCAGAACCTGAGGCTCCTGGAGGACCTGCCCATCGCCAAGGTGATGAAAGACTATCTCAAGCACAAGCTGGACGGCCTCTAATCGTAGCCCCACGCCCCGACGCCACGGCCCTGCTCCTCCAGCTGCAGACTATGCAAAAGCTTTTTCCTTTTTTTTTTTACGCGAGAGCTCAAAGCACAGGTACAATGTTTTTATATAACCTCATGTCTTAGCTTTTAAATCCATAATTACTGGAGGATTACCTGTCTTAGGTGTCACAACAAGGCCTACCTTTCCCGCGATCTGTCGAGGCGCAGTTATTTAGACAGAGTGAAAGTTCAGCGATTTGTGAAGGCAGGTAATGGAACTGCTGATTTTTATTTAAAAAAAAAAGCAAGAAAATTAACCAGCTGGCAGAGTGTTGCTGAGTTGTTGCATTTTGGTGGGGAGAAAATCTAGCGCATGACATTTGTGTTTAATAACAGCAACTTCTGCGTTTTTTTTGTTTTTTGTTTTTTAACTTCATCGGCTTGGAATGGTGAGATGGTTGCATCCTAATCGCCAGCAGTGATGCTTTTCTAAAATATTTTTCACACAACAATTTGAAGGACTCCCTCCCGCCTGCCTACGATTCACACAGACAGGTCAAGGTGTAGCTCAGAACTCTCACTATGGAGCTCGGCCCTTAGTAAAATGTGTCCCACACTTCGCAAGTGTGCCGTCTCAGATTTCGACTAACTTTAGTATATTTCCCTTTAGTATATGTATGAAGTTACTTAAATTAAAATAGTATTTTATGAACGTGTTGTTCCATGTGGAGGCCCATATGAAGTGTGTTTGTCCCCCCCCCCCCATGCTACCACTCAACATCAATCATGCCAGTCAGTGGTTCCCCAGTGGTCCTCAGCCTCTCTGGGTAGCAGAACTGGTGGTGGGTCATAGAGGGCAGGGTCAGTCCAGAGGAAACTGGAGCGGTCTGTGGCTGTTTACCTGGTGGGGTGACGGGCTGCTGGGCTGCCGTGTTCAGCGGGGCGCACTCATCCTTGTCAAGGTCAGAGGACAGCTAGTGAAGCATCGTGGTCTGGGAGCCTGTTAAATGGGTCTCTGCCTCTCGGTCACGAAGCCCTTTGGCCCAAAACATCAAAGCTGCCAGTGGAAATTTCAAATAAAATCATCAGACTAAGAGACTAGTGCAAGCAAGAGGTCGTCTTAATTAGGTAGAAAATTTACTTTGAATTTAACACACTACCAGTTACTGTGCAAATTCTTGTTTTGTGTATATTGCCCTTGGATTAAGTTAGGACGGGTAACAAAGCTCTCAATTTATTACAGAACTCACCGTGAAATTTGCCGAAAGCGTTCATGGGCTGGAGAAAAAAAGGTCTTTGTGTACACATTTCAGAGTTTAGTTCCGATGTACAGATAGCAGTCATACTCAGATTAAATGTAAATATGTACAGCAGATATTTTTTTTACGGTAATTTAAAGGGTATGATATAAAATTGTATGGAAATCTGTCGAGTCTCGTGCTTTGTTTCTCGTGGTTCTTGTAGCGTCTCCCTGAGTCTGAGGTCTTTTAAGGTGATAGGTGTTATTTCCCAAACTGAGTGGAGTGCTTTGGTCTCTGACGTAGCCCCGATAAAGATGCCGATGTGAGGTGTATCCCCCTGGTGACTTCTCCCAATCGATTAAACGTTTCTGTATTCCAAACAGATATTTTGTCAGAGAACATATTAGTGATTTGATACATGATCTGAATTGATTATTATATCATGATTATTATTGGTATTATTATTATTTTTCTTGCCTAAGATGTTTTGCAGCAATCTGGGAAGGTAAATATTTCATATAGCCTTGGGTTTTCTGAAGGGTCCGTGTTAGGAAGTATGTGTACAGGGAAGCCATTTTGTGTTTTGCCCCACTAGCGTAAATAGTAGATTAGCATCTGCTAAACATGGTGTTTATGTTGCTTTGTTCTTACAAATTTTTGTTTGGGGTGCAGGAAGTATCCAAAAATCAGTTTAAATATAACATTGAGATTATAAATGTGATTGGGCAGTATTGTTTAAGCCAACATAGCTGGTTTATGCATAGATCTTATATTATCAAGACCCACAATTAAAATATCCTGAAGATCTTGTAATGTTGATATAGACTTGTTTTCCTATCAACAATGTTAATATAAACAAATCGCTTAAAAATCTTGTATTTTTAAGGTATTAATAAAATGTAATTAAACACAAGTAAGTTTGGCCTTTACTAGTGGACATCCAGGTGAGCCATTTCCTGCTTTCACTGCCTCTAATCAAATACAGTCAGTTCTTTTTTTTTTTTTTCAAAAAAAAATCCATATTATTTCTCTATTAAGTCTAAACTTTATGGTCATAAGTCATGTCATGATTTTATGAAAATCATTATCAAAATCATATAATTATTAATAATAAAAAAACCCTGAGTTAGTAGTTTGGAATCCCTGCAATTCAAAATGCCGTATTTCTGTGTCTGCCTATTTAATTTATATTTTAATAATAAAGATGTGACATTCACTGTCCAAATGTGGCAGACATTCTTCAGCTGAAGATATATGAATTGGTGGCTTTTTGTTTTTAAATTTTGTATTTTTTTTTTTTTTTTTTAGGTTATCAGTGTTCTGCCAACACAAATTTGCCTTCTTGTGTTTCCAAAGTCTTCCAAACTTGTTTTTCGAAAGACGTTTAAAAACGTTGTTTGTTGTTTGCAGATTTGTAAAGATGTGTGAATAAAAACTAAATGTACAAAGCTTGCAGTATTTCGCCTTTTTCCTACAGCAAAGGTTAGCATTATAAAATCTTTATATTTACATATATACACATATATATATATATTTTTTTAATTATATGTGTGTATATCTTTTTTTTTCTTACCATGAAGCAAACCAAATTTATTACCAGGTGTCTCACTGTCATTCATTTGCAAGTGTGTTTTTTTTCATCAGTTCAAAAATACTGGGAATTGTGTTTTTTGGGGACTTTGCAGACTTTTTACATTATGCAGAAGTGTAATGCAATATTTAATTTATGCACAATATCTGATAATTGGTATAGGTGTACAATCCAGCTGCAAACTGCAGTTCACCACAGTAAATTGTCCGTTGCATGCTTGTAAGTCAGCTTCCTTGAGTGTGTTTGTCCTGTTACTGCCGGCTTTGCCCCTCTCTGTCCAGCCCGAGTGAGCGACGGTGATCGCCCCGTTTCCGTGACGGCCCTCCCAGCACGGCCAGCTCTCCCAGAGCCGGTGCTGACCTCTTACTTTCAGTTTGTGGCTTCCAGAAGTCTGCTCATATTTACTGCACTGCCATCCTTACAGCTGCATATAAATTTTGATGGAGGAACCCTGGCAAGTAGCTGATTTGGGGGCTTCTCTGTGTTTCATGTGTCCTGTATCGTTTACTCTGGGTTGAGGTCCGTTTCCCTCCCATCTGCCCGGTTCTCAGGAATGCCATCCCAAATCTGGGGGTGGGGGACGTACCCAAAGATGGTCAGGCTCTAGCTGCAGTGTCTACTTAGCATCAAAGATGGATTTGTGGATTACTTTACAAAGCACTAGGTGCTTCCATTGAGTGACTCACAGGTAACATAAGCCCATAAAACAATGCTGTTTTCTCTGCAGTCCTATGGCCTGGCCAGATGGACGGAACAATGTCACTATTGTGGTTGTGTCTGTTTGGCTGGAGAGTCCTCTGCACTTCTGAAAATACTGCTCACGTCAGGCATTCGGTGAAGCTTGGCCGGTCCCAAAGCATTTCGCTATGGGGACCAGAGGAGATTCCAGGGATGTGTGTGTTAAGGTGCCACGGTAGAACATGGCCTTTTAAACGGACGTGTTGAGTAAAAGATAATTCTCGGTTTCATCAATCCCTTTGTGATTTTTGAGGTACAAAAACTCCTGAATCCACCGTTCGACATCTATGCCAAGTGTTCTCAAACATTTTGACCAAAGGACCGCATCAGATTTTTGTTCAACATCTGAGGTCTGAAACAATTTTCAATAACAAAACAGCATCTCATGAACTTTAATGAATTAACAATAACCTTTGACATAGACGTCGATGTACAACAAAAATGGGAACACTTTAATGTTCACTGATCGTATTGATGGTCATTGAGTGGGGGATTGTGATGAGTTATGTGTGTGTGAAGTTTGGTGGTTCTATTTTGTATTTTGTACTTCATTACATTAACCATATTGATTCATAAGGTGCTTTATCGGATGGGTCCGGGTTAACTTGCCGTTTGATCTGCATGCAGGCCGTGGTTCAGACTTTGACAGCTCCAGATCTGTGCTATTAGTTAGCGTGAGTTAATTGTTTTCATGTTGTCCAATGGTAAAGTGATATCTTGATTTTCTTTTCACCCACAAATCCCAGGGAAGATAAAATACTGTTTCCCATCCACCCAACTTCAGGCTAAAAGCTGAGACACAGCCTGGATGGGATACCAGCCCAGCACAAGGCACACAGTCACACACAGTGGAGAGACATCGCTTAGGCTGATAGTACGGACTGCAGCTGTAAGCCGAAGTAGCCCAAGGAAGCACGGGAGAACATGCAAATTCCAAAGCTGCGGATTTCACCCCCTGAACCACTGAGGCACCATGCTACACAAATCTGCTTTTTGTTTTTCCTTTATATAGTTTTCCCATAAATCATGAAATTGTACTCCAAAACAATATGTCACCAAGAAGCAGCCTTACACCCAGAACCAAGGCTCCAACTGGATTTGATCTCCTTATGTTTAAACCAAAACTCTGCTTCTCTGTCCACTGGGGGTAAGGGGGCTTTAGTAAGATTAGCAGATCATATCAAATTTTCCAAGGATGGTTTTGACACACCGCTCAGCTTGGTTTTTTGAGTGGGCCAAAATTTGTAGACAAGGCATTTCATCAAATAATGTTTAATTCCCAGGCCAACGCACCTTGTTCCACTGGCAGATGTGCGGGCGCTGGAAGCCTCGCGCTGCCCGGACTGCATGCGGCTCCGCGGCCGCACCGGTGTAACAGATGGACATCCCGGGGCGGCTAGGGAAAAAGCAGCAGCGACATTACTTAACAGATAATACGTTAACTGCTAGGTAAAATAAAAGAGTACGGAGCGACGCGCAGCTGCAGGCTGTAAACAGGTTAAATCAATTAACAAAATACCAGAGTTATTTCAGACTGAGCAGGCTGTATGTCGGTCTTTTCGCGCTTAACCTTTAACATTTTTACCATCATTTCATTTATTCTAACACAACTTTTAACGTAAATGTCTATTGAAACCAATGCAATTATTTCTAATAATATTTTTTTAATGCAGTGAAAAACGCCATTATAAGTGTGTTCCCGTGTGCTGGTAGCCCGAACCCCTCCCCCGACACCGGATTCACGGTGAGCGTTTACTTTCCCGTCATAGACTCCCTGCGTGCGGCACCGCAGCAATGACGGGGGATACAAAGGCTTCGCGCTGGATGGCAGCGGCTCGGAGGCTCACAGTGCGCCGCAGACATCAAACGCAAGCCAGCTTTATCTCCGCCGTCGGTCCTCCATTGCCGCCCCGGAGCATCATTACAAGAACTGAGGAACTGGCTCGTCATCTTTTGGCTGCTGAGCACAGATGTTTGTTTTTATTTTTATATATATATATATATATATATATATATATATATATATATATATATATATATGTATGTGTGTGTACTTTAAAATGTACATTTACCTATAGCTACAGGGTACAATTGGCAGACTCTTGAGGATACAGCCTTTTAATTTGACCCTTTTTTCTGAGAGTGTATATATTACACTTATATGGGCAACAAGCTCTTAAAATGTATTCTTATTGTAGATTTTAAAATCCCAAAAGTTTAGAAACTCTAAATGGAACGAACAGTGAATAGGTGCCCGTAATGATAACAGGATTGTGTATTTTCCTGAGAAAAACAGCAGGACAGGTACATCCGCCTGCATTGGTGACCTTCATGTTTTATATATTATCATTGTGCCAGATCTGTAATTCACCGCCTGATTTTAAGCGTTCACAGCACGCTGTTTTAAATTACAGGTAATATCGTTGTTTAATAGAAAGACAGTCTTAATGAAAAGCAGCCATTTTTTTTAAACACGGCCATTGGGCGAGGAGAGACATCTAAGGGGAGAGTAGAGAGAGCACCGGGCACAGTGCCACTTGGGATAAATGAAAACCTTTAGGGCGGGACTGTTTGAACAGCGTGGTACGGGACCGGGTGGGAGCTGGCGCCAGACAAAGGTCTGGTTATCATAGAGAAGGTGGTGAATCCAATTAGACAGACACTTTGTTTTAGTGAACAAAAGATGGCCGTCGGTAGGAGATGCAGACACACACAGCACAAATGGGACGGAAAACAGATGTCAGGTAACCCGGAACGGGGATGGGTTTGGGCCGCCTGACACGCTTCTACTGTCAAGTGAATCATCTGCTCAGCCTCGCAAATATTTGGTACACAGAAGCCTCTTTGTGATCTTTTGTTGACGGCTGACTTTCTTATTATCCTTCAAAGTTCCGGAAGGGATCAAAGAATTTAATATCCAACGGATGGCTGAGCGTAGATGGCTGAGAGAGTAAACAAACAAATTTGGAGGAAAGGTGGAGCGGGAAACGGACGGAGGGCCCAAAGAAGCCTCGTGAATTGGGATAAACGAGGGGGAACGCTGAAGAGATCAATGGGAAGTGGAGAACATGAAAGTCGACAGATGATTCGCTAAGACCGAAAGGTGCACCTTTCACCCGATGGTGAGCTATGACGCCCTTATGCTCTGCCCCCCCCCCCAAAAGGACACCACACTACTCACGGTGCTGCTGCGTTTCCATATGTTGGTATTAAAAATATCTTAGTCCTGAATGAATATAAAATAGGACCTTGAGTAAATCACGTGTTTTGGCATGACAGCTGTCTTCCAGTGACCTTATGTGACCACACAGTCAGGCTTTTCAAATGAATCACTGCTTCTCTTTGGAAGGTTACATTGTCACATATGCAGAATTACATTGTGGAGCGTCTTTCATTATTTGAAAAGTTATATAACCAATAAAATAAAAAAAAAAAAACACATTTATTTTTCTCCATCTAGCTTGAAATCTTTTTTAAAGTTTTTATTTTATTGAACAACGTATTTTGTTTTAGTCATTTTGCCAAACCGCATGTTTTTGGACTGCAGGAGGAAACTGGAGAAGCCAGAGGAAATCCGGGCAGATACAGGCAAACAGGCGAACTCCCCACACACAGAGCAGGGGGACTCAAACCCACAGTCCTGGAGGTGTATGTCACAGGCACTACCCACTCTGGCACTAGGATAATAATAATAAATAAATCATACATTTCCTGAATATAAAATCGGCAGATTCACCCTATCAGGGTTCCCGCATGCCATCTTTTATACGATCAACTAAAACATGCTGTTTATTTATGTATTTGTTGCTATGTTGCAAATGCCAAAGGAACACAAAAGGATCTGGGAATTAGCGAACTTAGCGGCGTAAACGTCATGATATAACCATATTTACAAAAAAAAAATAAATCATACTTGTCTGCCATAACATTGCATTTAATGGCACCGATTTGCTGGGACAAAGGAGGCTCCTGTCCTCAACTCATTACACAATCTAGGGTGTATTATTAATCTGACAATTGCCTTATCTATGTGCCATGAAAGGGATTTAAATTGCTGTCTCGATTTATTTGAAAATTAACCCTTTGTTAGACATTTAGGTTAGACCCTTG